ACCTTGCAGTCCTTCATCCTAAACCTCAATTCAGGCTTTCCCTTCTTAGCCCACATTGCTCAACTCCATGTGCCACCTGCCTGCTTCTTCCCTGGTTGGGTTTGCTCTTTCTTACCCTTTTGGTTATGATACACTCTCCAGATCAGTCAGAGCACACAGTTTTTGTCCTTCATGGAAGGTTCTTCCTTCTGTTCTCTGGATGTTTGTAGGCAAAAGAGTCTGGAGAAGATGCTTTGTCTTTGCTAAAAATAAAAGTTAATTTTGTATTTATCACAGAATCATAGAATGGTTTGGGTTGGAAGGGACCTTAAAGATCATCTAGGTCCAACCCCCCTGCCATGGGCAGGGACACCTTCCACTAGAGCAGGCTGCTCAAAGCCCCATCCAACCTGATCTTGAACACTGCCAGGGATGGGGCATCCACAACTTCCCTGGGCAACCTGTTCCAGTGTCTCACCACCCTCATAGTGAAGAATTTCTTCCTTACATCTAACCTAAATTTACCCTCTTTTGGTTTAAAGCCATTACCCCTTGTCCTATCACTACAAGCCCTTGTAAAAAGTCCCTCTCCAGCTTTCTTGTAGGCACCCTTCAGGTACTGGAAGGCTGCTCTAACGTCTCCCCAGAGCCTTTTCTTCTCCAGGCTGAACAACCCCAACGCTCTTAGGCTTTCTTCATAAGAGGTGCTCCAGCTCTCTGATCATCTTTGTGGCCCTTGTCTGGACACACTCCAACAGGTCCATGGCCTTCTTATGTTGGGGGCCCCAGAGCTGGATGCAGTGCTCCAGGTGGGGTCTCATGAGCAGAGTAGCGGGGCAGTATCACCTCTGATAATGCTTTTTTTGATGTAGCCTAGGATACGGTTGGTTTTCTGGGCTACGAGTGCACATTGCCAGGTCATGTTGAGCTTTTCATCAACCAACCCCCCCAGGTCCTCCTCAGGGCTGCTCTCAGCCCATTCTCTGCCCAGCCTGTATTTGTGCTTGAGATTGCCCCAACCCATGTGCAGGACCCTGCACTTGGCCTTGTTGAACTTCATGAGGTTTGCATGGGCCCACCTCTCAAGCCTGTCAAGGTCCCCCTGGATGGCATCCCTTCCCTGCAGTGTGTCAACTGTACCACACAGCTTGGTGTCATTGGCAAACTTGCTGGGGGTGCACTCGATCCCACTGTCTATGTCACCAACAAAGATGTTAAACAGCATTTGTCCCAATCCCAACTCCTGAGGAACACCACTCGTCACTGGTCTCCACTCGGACATCGAGCCGTTGACTGCAACTCTTTGTGTATGACCATCCAGCCAATTCCTTATCCACAGAGTGGTCCATCCATCAAATCCCCAGTTTAGAGACAAGAATGTTGTGCGGGACAGTGTCAAATGCTTCGTGTAAGTCCAGGTAGATGACATTGGTTGCTCTTCCCTTATCCAGCAACGCTGCAAACCTGTTGTAGGTGGCCACCAAATTTGTCAGGCACAATTTGCCCTTAGTGAAGCCATGCTGGCTGTCACCAATCATCTCCTTATTTTCCATGTGCCTTAGCATAGTTTCCAGGAGGATCTGCTCCATGATCTCACTGGGCACAGAGATGAGACTGACCGGCCTGTGGCTTCCCGGGGCTTCCTTTTTTCCCTTTTTAAAAATGGGGGTTATGTTTCCCCTTTTTCAGTCAGTGGGAACTTCGCTGGACTGCCACAACTTCTCAAATATGATGGAGAGTGGTTTAGCAACTTCATCCACCAGTTCCCTCAGGACCTGTGGATGCATCTCATCAGGTCCCATAGACTTGTGCACCTTCAGGTTCCTTAGATGGAACCTGATCTTCTGCTACAGTGGGCAGCTCTTCATTCTCCCAATCCCTGCCAGTCCCTTCCTTTTGCGATTTGGGTGCTGTGGCTTGAGCACTTCCCAGTGAAGAGTGAGGCAGTCATTGAGTACCTCAACCTTCTCCATATCCTGGGTAACCAGGTCTCCCGTTTCCTTCTGGAAAGGCCCTACACTTTCCCTAGTCTTCCTTTTATCCCTGATGTACCTAGAGAAGCTTTTCTTGTTGCCCTTGATGTCCCTGGCCAGATTTAATTCTATCACGGCTTTAGCTTTCCTAACCTGATCCCTGGCTGCTCTCACAATTTCTCCATATTCCTCCCAGGCTGCCCGTCCTTGCTTCCACCCTCTGAGGGCTTCCTTTCTGTGTTTGAGTTTGTGTAGGAGCTCCTTGTTCATCCACGCAGGCCTCCTAGTGTTTTTGCCTGGCTTCTGCTGGTCATTTCTGTGGAAATCTGGATCTCTTCCGTGTTCCCTCTG